GCTGTTCGATCCCGCCGTGGTGGGGGGCGCTGTAACCCCCGAGACCAAAACTTACACCTCTCGAGGGTTACGAACGCTTTCATCTTGTTTTCTCTTAACACCGGGACTAGGCAAAATCACCGGTCTCGGGGTTCTCGGTTTCGTACAACAAGTTTATTCAAATTATATAGGGTACCCTATTTTTATCGCGCAAGTTTAATTATTGTTATTTAGGTATGATAGATCTAGGTGCAACACAGCAGTACTGTCAAAAGTCGCAATTTTAGGAACATTTGCAGGTTTTATTAATTATTTTAGATGATTTCTGATAGTATCATTGGAATATTTTTGAGAATCGCAGGTTTGCCAGATGTTCGAGATTTTCGAGAATTTTTGAGAATCGGAGATTTGAGAGATGTTTGAAATTTTGTGGAATTTTTGAGAAAAAGGAGCAGGGGTTAATTTCAAGTTAAATCTTCCGTGTTTTCGAAGTCCTCGCTATTTTTCGGTATTTTAAAATTCGAAAGTGGCGATTCCACCAGGTGGATTGTTAAAGAAAATTTAAAAATTTTATAAATTATTTGAAAATTCGAGAAATTTGAGAAAAATTTCGTACTAGGATTAAAGCGTCAATTAAACAATGTATATTTTTCAAGTTTCAAAATTCGAATTTGGCTCCTCTTCAGCGCGAGGCTATGAAGAAAATTTGATGAATGAATTTGGTGAATCGTTTGACATGATTTTTTATAGTGATCGTCCTAATGTTATTGTAAAATATTTGAGAATCGGAGATTTATGAGATATCCGAAATTTTGGCTAATTTCTTAAAAAATTCGCAAATGTTTGGAGAACCTTGTAACCTGTTACAAATTTCGTGCTACGATTTGCTCAAAACAGGTATAACTATACCAATTTCGATTATTTTTCAAAGTTCAAAGCCTCCATCAAAATTCACGATACTCAAATATCCCAAATTCAGAATATTTCAAATATTTAAATTATTTTCCTATCACATTTGGAATATTCGAAACACCTTTATATATTCGAGACACCAAAAGTTTGGAAATATTCTGAAATATTTTTTAAAATTTCCTTTATAATCGAATTTATCATACTGTATACTTCACAATTCGCGAATATCGAAGCATTCGTAACGCGAAATCGCGAATATTCAACCAGTATCCGAGAATCACGATCATTCTGGAAACGTCCTTACTTCTAATTGCTTTAATGGATTGATCACTTTCGCGGTATTTTTCCAGTGCCAATCGTGCGTTCCGCATGATCGGTTGGTACACGAGTTATTAAGGCCCCGATTGCTTGATAAGGTAGTAGCACAAATAACATAGCCAAGAATTGTACGCGTCAAACTCGCAAGTGATGACGGACAACTAAATCGTATTCGACGTACAAATAAATCGTGTTTGACGGGTCTTACCGCGCATGCGTTAGCGGGCAAGAAGCAATAATTCCACGGCAGCGGAATCGTTCGTGAAAAGTCATAAAAGTGTAACGGGCTGCTTTTTATCCGACTATGAACGTATCGAACGATTATGGCCGATCGTGAGCCAGGGACTAACGCCCAGATCACGAGAATTACAAAGTATCTAAAGGGTTCAACCGTGTTTCGCGTCTCCGCGACACGCAGCATCAGCGCAAAAAAGTAATCAAACGACTATTTACCCTGTAATCTCTGTGTCGACTCGGTAGAGGGGTAGCAATCATCGAATTTACATTCTTAGCTCGCCGCTTCCCATCCGAGGATTATATTTTTTTACGCTAATTACGGAAACAAGAGTCAATGGAATAAAATTACGACTCCACTGAAAAACTCGATTTCAAACGTTTCTCGGAAGAGAGACTTTTGATTACCGAGGACGCGACAAAAATCAGCGAAAAAACTCGCAATTTTTACGACAACCCCGGCAGAGTAATCTCTCGAAATGAGATAATTACGAGACAAAAGCAGGTCTCCGAAATGTCTTCATCGAGGCACTTTCTGCCAGATGAAATTCAATCTCAGAAATTTCTCAAGGGCAAATGTACTCGTTAAAATAAAATTTAATTCCAGATACTTCTCAGAAAAAGAATAAATTCCCTTAGATAAAGTTATTTCAAAAATACCTCCATATAAAATAAAATTAACGAAACAGTTTTTCATAATTAAATATGTTCGTTCAAGCAAAATTTAATTCCAGAAATTTCTGAAGAAGGAATAAATTCCTTCAGATAAAACTATTTCAAAAATATCCCCATACAATGTATATTAGTTTAAATAAAATCATAATAGAAATTAAATTCCTTTCCTTAAAAATTTATTTCTCAACAGAGAGAAAATTAAAATAAAGTAGCCGATAATGAAAATAAAATTGACGAGGCAATTTTTCACAAGTAAATATGCTCGTTTGAACTAAATTTAATTCCAGAAATTTCTGAAGAGAGAATAAATTTCTTTAGATAAAACCCTGTTTCAGAAATTTTTCAAAAGCAAGTATACTTGTTCAGACAAAATTATATTCGAGAAATTTCTAGACAGAAAATAAGTTCCTTTGTATGAAAGCCTATTCCTGGAAAGAAAAGACAGATAGGATAGTCGAAAATAAAAATGACAAGGTAGTCTTCGAAGATAACCTCGAAAGAGACACGAGACGTTTTTCACGAGCTGATGCGATTTTTACACGCGAGATGCTTGGAAGGACAGAGAGCTGGACGTCGGCGGCGTGAAGTTGCGCAAGGAATCGCGCAACGATCGCCCGGTTTCGACCGGTCGATTTCTCGCAGCGAGTTTCGTCACCGCGCCGCTGCGTCGCCACTATCGTTAGGCCGGACGGAACGCGGCCTAAACACAGACATTAACCAGGACACGTCACTTCGGCCTCTCGGGTTTCGCGGCTCGGGTCGAAGAAAGTGTCACCGTACACGCTCTGACACCTTAATTGCGCGATTACGTCCAAACTCCCCGTGTGATCTGTTCCAGTAATTACCTCGCTGCGGATCGATTAGAGCCTATCCAGAAAGCGGATATCTCGCTCTTGTTCCACGTGACTAGTAATAACACCCACTTCCAAAGAACCGCGTTCTTTAAATTCCCTGCACGCTGTCACCGAATTACTATCATTATCCCGATTTACATCTACAAAACCTCGAAATCTGCCGACAATTTCGAAATCGAAGCGGACTTGTACTCACTCGGAGTTAGGTTAGGTCGTAATACGAGACAGAAATTAAATCGATTTCTCAATTACGTTTATTATTAACGAATATTCCAAAATTTCGAATTATTGTTGTATATCACGGTATATGCCAAAAGGAGAGTTAATATTTCGATGCCTGTAGGATAAAAATGGAGAGAAAAATTGTAGGTTAGAAAAGATTTAAATCTGAAGGGAAATGCGTGAGGGACGACGCGAAGAATGGTACATCGAATGGCGAAACAAAAGACGCGACGAGCCCCCGGTCGATAAGGCGCGAAGAGCGCCAAAAGGGCCGTGTAAACACGTTTTTCTCGGAAAAACGAAAGCTTGGACGCAGAAATAAGAAGTGGTCGGAGAAGCGAGAGATAGGTGGGAAGGAAAGAGAAGCGAGCGAGATGGATCTCGCGGGGCAGAAGCTCGATTCGGACTGCTGGTAGCTCGTTTAGCGTCTCCACCCCCCACTCCGGCTGCGCGGCGACTTATTACCCTGTACGCAGCACATCGTCGCGCAGTGCACGAAGTCACGTCGGCGGGGTACGGAGGACTGCCCTATCGGCCGCGAAATTTCCCTCGGCGTGGTGTTCGGGCCTAAAAGAAAGCGTCTGGAAGACGGACGGGGCCGGGGCGAGAAAAAAGCGCGGGGAACGAAGCTCGGGGGGAAAAGGGAGTGGGGCGCGGGGCGCGGGGTGGGGGAAAGAGGGGAAAGAGGGAGGCGAGCGAAGGGGTAGGGGGTCCAGACGTATTAATTAAACGACTCATTTTCATCGCACGACAAAAACGTGAGTTTAACGCCCATCGGCGACTAATGCGTCGCCCCACTGCAGCTCGAACGCCGGCCGTGGAATCGGGGTAGCGAGGTTGGTTCGGACCAGCGAGTTTCTACCTCGAAGAACCGTCCAATCCTGTAGAGGCTGGTGTACGCCTAGCGTCGCAGTTCGTACCGTGGAGAACCGCCCAGGTTTGGTCGATTCTATACCCCCACCGTTTCTCACGAGCCGACGTGGTGGGGATAAAAAGCGGCTCGGCACACCCCCACCACCATCCAAGAGCGCCTCGTTTAGCCTGTAATTTGCTCAAACACTAGCAAGCTCTCGTGCCAGAAACATCCGTCAGAGAGCCCGTGTCTGCTGGAGTCTCGAGGTATACGCTGTTGGGCCAGTTGGTCTGCTCGTTTTTTCGGCAACCGTGCCCGTGTTCCTTGGCCGGAGTAAATTTGGTGCCGCGGGCTAGCTCGATGGAGAGGCGCGGTCCCGGGATATCGCAGTGTGTGTCGGCCGTGTGAGCTAACCGCTTCGTTGGCCTCTCTTGCGTTACAGTGGTGACACTCTTTGTCTCCGGGGATCATCGTGGACTGGGTGATCCCTCAGTGACGCTATACCGATCCGTCGTGAACGATGACTAGTGGTGACCATTGTGCCGCAAACTGAACAGTGTCGCGAGTTTCACGGGAAGCACGAACGGAGTAGTACTCTGACCGCGGCACAGGATACCGCTGGTGAAGTATCGCGGATCCTTCGACTGGACGATGCACCGATTAACAATCGGACGATAATCCCATCGCGAGTACACTGACGAGGAAGAAGACTGTAATTTAGGAGACAGTCCCGGGGATAGGGAGTTATCAGTGCGTGGAAAAGTGCGTTCAAAGTGTTCGCGAGGAGTAACCCGTGGCTCGACGTCTGGCAGGCAAGCGTTCTCGGTCTGCTGAAAGAGCCGGGGCCGAGGCGGCTGCAGGCATGCGGCGGACCTGACTCCACCGAGCTACCTGGAGCCCTTGCGTGTTGCAGAAGTGGCCAGTCCATCAGCCAGGCGTACGATAATCGTACGATGATGCCGCTCGCGCCGACGCCAATTGTTCCGGTGCCCTCGAAGCCGAAGATCGGCTTCAGCATCGACTCGATCGTCGGTGGTGGTGGACAGGGTCGCGAGGACCGTCTGGACCGGTTGGAACGGGTGGAAATCGAGAGAGACGATGGCAGTCCCATGGACGTGGTCGAAGGCTCTTCCTCGCCTCGAACTCGTAGGGTCACCACGAGATCACCCGGGGCCCATTCCGAGGGCTCCGATCGGCCAGTGTCCCGGAGTTCCTCCGTAGAATCCTACCCTAACTCGCGGAGGACGCCGTCACATCCTGGCAGCCATCACCATCATCACGCGAATCACCACGGCCATCATCATCACTTGTCCGCTGCTACGCACCTAGACTTCGGTAGAACGACGGTCCACAGTCACAGCGGAGGATCCACGCCGAACAACAGTCCCAGTCCGCCTCACAGGATATCCCACGGGGACTCTCCCGTCGGTTCGCATCCTCAGCCGCCACCGGGAGTCGTCAGACCGAGTCCCAATTACCTCGCACCGCCGCCTGGCGCGGCAACTGCGGCAGCAGTCGCGGCTGAACAGTTGAAATCCCTCTACGGGCTACCCGGACATGGCCCAACGGGCCCACAGACGGGACAGAACGAGTACCACACGCAGCAGCTCGCCCTGGCCGCGAATTTGGCCGCGGCACAGCACTTCCAGGCGGCCAACCTAGCCGTGGCCCTTCAGGCCCATCACGGCGCGTCGCCCCACGGACCTCCGCACGGGCCTTATCCCCATGGCGGCGCGCCCGGTGGACCCCATCCTCCGCCGCATCCTCATCAGCCACCCAGGGACAGCTACCCGCTCTATCCTTGGCTGCTGTCTAGGCACGGCAGGATCTTCCCTCACAGATTTCCTGGAGGTACGTGTGCACTCGCTTTCTTTCTCGCTATTCTTTTGCTCATCTTCC